ATAGACAGGAAACAGGAAAAGTGTTTTTCTTTGGTGCCAGTTCTGTGGCTTACACTCAGGGCCTGATGTTCTTGTTTGGCTTTTTCACTTTACCATTTGAGCCACACCTTCCACTTCCAGCTTTTTGGTGATTAATTGGAATAAGAATCTCATAGACATTTCCTCCCAGGCTAGCTTTGAGCTACGACCCTCAGCTCTCAGCCCTTTGAGTAGCTAGGATTATAGTGCTCTGCTAGGAAAATTTTTTGTTGTTGGTTGTAGGGCTTGAACTCAGGGGCTAAGCACTATCTCTGAGCTCTTTTTGTTCCAGGCTAGTGCTCTACCACTTTGAGCCACAGCACCAATTCTGGTTTTCTGGTGGTTAATTAGAGATAAGAGTCTCACACTTTCCTGCCCCGGCTGGTTTTGAACTGCAGTCTTCAGATCTCAGCCTCCTGACTTGCTAGAATTACAGGCACAAGGCACCAGCACCTGCATTTTTTTGGAATCCTGGGGCTTGAACTCAGGGCCTGAGTGTTGTCCCTGAGCTTTCTCTTGCTGAAGGCTAGTGCTCTTACTACTTGAACCAAAGTGCTATTTCTGACTTTTTCTGTTTATGTGGTACTGAGGAATTGAACCCAGGGCTTCATGCATGCTAGGCAAGCACTGTACCACTAAGCCACATTCCTAGCCCTAGGAAAACATTTTTAAAAGAAAAAAATTTGTGCCAGGCGCCAGTGGCTCACACCTGTAATCCTAGCTAGATTATTTGTCTAGTAAGGGTTCAATACTCAATACTGAAACAAAATCAATAAAAAACAAAATAGTAAGCAAAGGGGCAGTGTCTGCAGGTTAACCTCAAATTTTTGGAGAACATATGTAAAGAAAAAATAAAGCAAATGTAGCAAAATGTTGACATATAGAGAATCCTGGAGATGAGCAATACGGTTGTTAGAATTTTTCTGTAAATCTAAAGTTGCCAAAATGAAAACACCAAAAGAAAAAAAATAATAAAAACACTTGAGGGCTGGAAACATGGCTCAGTGGTAGAGTGCTTGCCTAGGCATACATGAAGACCTGGGTTCAATCCCTCGGTATCCCATAAACAGAAAAAGCTGGAAGTATGCTGTGGCACAAGTGGGTAGAGTGCTAGCCTTGAGCAAAAGAAGCTCAGGGACAGTGCCCAGGCCCTGTTGTTCAAGCCCAGGACTGGTAAAAAAACAAAACCACAACAACAAAAAACACTTGAAACCTGAAAGGGGAACTATTATGTCCTCCTAGACAAGAGGATATCCAAAGTGCAGCTTAACCCATGAGTTGGAGCTAGAGGAATGTGCTCAAATATACCAGCATCCCAACCCACTCACATTGTCTGTGTGCTCCATCCAATACAGGAAAAGACGGAGTTACAGTGTATTAGTGGATGAAGATTGTAACTTTGTTTTTTGGTTTTTGTTGTTTTTTTTTGTCGGTTGTGGGGCTTGAACTCTGGGCCTGGGCGCTGTCCCTCAGCTCGCTCTACCACTTGAGCTACAGCGCCACTTCCGGTTTTCTGGTGGTTTATTGGAGATAGGAGTCTCACGGTCTCTCCTGCCCAGGCGGGCTTTGAATCGCGATCCTCAGATCTCAGCCTCCTGAATAGCTAGGATTACAGGCGTGAGCCACCAGCGCCCGGCTGTTTTGTTTTTTTGAGTCTCAAGTCTCACTGTGCAGCAAAGCCCTCTTCAAACAGGTGGGTGTCCTGCCTCACTTCCCAAGCTTTAGGATTCCAGGCATGCTCTACTAGGCTCAACTTTTTTTTGCTAGTCCTGGGGCATGAACTCAGAGTCAGGGCTCTGTCCCTAAGCTTCTTTTGCTTAAGGCTAGAACTGTACCACTTGAGCCACAGCGCCACTTTCAGCTTTTTCTTTTTATATGGTACTGAGGAATTTAACCCAGGGCTTTATGCATGCTAGGCAAACACTCTACCACTAAGCCATGTTCCCAGTACTCATTCACCTTTGAATCTAACTTGAAAGGGGTGTTCAGAGTTTTCCTGAAGTCTATTCACTAGAAACTTCTATTCAGGCCAAGCACAGTGGCTCACTCTCTTCATCTTAGCTACACAACAGGCTGAGAGGATCACAGTTTGAAAGCAGCCCTAGCAGAAGTCTACAAGACTCTACAAAAGAATCAATAAGGGCTGGGAAGGTGACTCAGTGGTAGAGTACTTGCCTCACATGTATGAGGCACTGGGTTCGATTCCTCAGCACCACATAACCAGAAAAAGCCGGAAGTGGTGCTGTGGCTCAAGTGGTAGAGTGCTACCCTTGAGCTGAAGAGCTAAGGGAGAGTGCCCAGGCCCAGAGTTCAGCCCCCATGACCAATCAAAAAAAAAAAAAAAAAGAACCAGTAAGAAGCTGAGGTGAAGTGTAGCTCAAGTGGTAAAGTGCCTGCCAAGCAATCTTGAGGTTCTGAGTTCAAACTCTAGTACCAGCAGGGGAAAACAAAGTTCTATTCAATGAACTCAAATTCTAGATTTATTTATTTTTTAATATGAAAGTAAATGGATTATTTGGGAAGAGGAAGGGGATCAGTAGGGAGACAAGAGACAGTAATGAGGGATGAATATGATCAAAATATATTATATACAGGTATAAGGAGCTGGGAAGGTGGCTCAGTGGTAGAGCGCTTGCCTTGCATGCATGAGGCCCTGGGTTCGATTCCTCAGCACCACATAAGCAAAAAGAAAAAAGACAGAGTGGCACTGTGGCTCAAGTGGTAGAGTGCTAGCCTTGAGCTGAAGAGCTGAGGGACAGTGCCCAGGCCCAGAGTTCAGGCCCCACGACCGGACCCCCCCAAAAAAAAAACATTATATACAGGTATGGAAACGATGAAATCCAATAGTTTACACATTAACAAAAATAAGGAGGGATGACTGAGCAAAAAGCATGAGAGGCTAGTGCTGGTGGCTCACACCTGTAATCTTAGCTACTTAGGAAGCTGAGATCTGAGGATCATGGCTCAAAGCCAGCCTTGGCAGAAAATTCGAAGAGACTTTTCTCCAATCAAGCTCCTGAAAACCAAAAGTGGAACTGTGGCTCAAAGCTGTAGAGCTCTATTTTTGAGCAAAAAAGCTCAGGCACAGCACTCAGGCTGAGTTCAAGCCCCAGGACTGGCAAAGGCTAACACACATACACACAGGGCAAGCAAATGCAAACACACACACACACACACACACAGAGCGAGAGAGAGACAGAGAAAGAGAGAAAAGCCTCATACCTGTAGTCCCAGGTATTCAGGAGGCTGAGAGCTGAGGATCAAGGTTGGAAGCCAGCCAGGCAGACAAATCCCAAAGAGTCTTATCTCCAAATAATCAAGAAAAAGGTGGAAGTGGAGCTGTGGTTCAAGTGGTAGAAGGCTAGCTTTGAGTGAAAAACTAAGCAAGAGCATGAGGCCAAGTTCAAGCCCCCTTACCAGCACAAAACAAAACAAAAAGCCACTGGACATATTAAGTGTAACCACCTTGTATAATCTGTTGAAGTTCAGAATAACAAATTTAAATAGGAAAATAGAGAAAGGAAAAAGGGAAAGATGAAGAGAAAGAAGACAGGCACAGTAATAAATGCTTCTGGAACCCTGGGACCTCAGGTCTTGTCAAAATGGAGACAAGAGTATAATCAGGCTGCATCTGTTGTGAGAGCAGGCTCAGGCCTTGGTCTGACACCAATCAATAGTGTTACTTTACCCTAAACCAGATCATACTCAAGCCTATTGAATTGGCTTGTATATCAACTAACTGCTTTGATCCAGATTCACCATGCTATGGGATACCTTTGAGTGTTCCATAACATAGTAGCCATATAAATGAACTTCTGGCTGAGGTCTCCTATCCATGCTACAGACACATAGAAAAATCTACACATGATTCTGCATTCTGTATCACCCAAGCCTGGCACTTCAAGGGGAAGAGGAACTAGGGGAGAAGGTTTAGAGTGGGTTATAGAAAGAAACTCAACCCTTTGCCCAACAAATGCCAGGCTACTAACATTTTCTGTCAACAGTGATTTATCATTAGAACAATGTGATGTTGATTACACAGAATTAAGAAAGGTCATTAGCCACATGACAAAAATGTGATGCAGTGGCGATAAATGCAGATTTAGAGGTGTAGGAAAAAGGCAATTGTCCTTTAGTACCCTCTTCAACTCAAACAAGGAAGAAGATGGAGAGGGACCTATGTTGACCCCAAACGTGTGGGGGGGGGAGGGGAGAGGGCAGTCATGTGGCTTGAACTCAGGGCCTGGGCACTGTCCCTGAGCTCTTTTGCTCAAGGCTAGCATTCTACCACCTGAGCCACAACGCCACTTCCAGTTTTGTGGTGATTAATTAGAGATAAGAGTTTCTTGGCCTTTCCTGCCCAGGATGGCTTTAACCTGTGATCCTCAGATCTCACCTCATGATCATCTAGGATTACAGGTGTGAGCTACCAGCATCCAGACCTATCAAACTTCTTAAAGGACTTTTTACTATTTCACCTTGAGGTAGGTCAATACCACTCTCCCCAATTTCCCATGGGGAAACTGACAAAAGACAGCAAGAGCATTGCCTAAAGCCATCTCATGGCACAAGGGGCAAAGGAGAGGCGCAGTATTCGCCCACCCCTTAAGTAGGTTGGCAAGCTAAGCTGTGTCTGCTGATTGAGTTATCCTCTCAGGCTCAGTCAAAGGTGAGAGACATCTACGCAGCGACACTCAGTGCCCTCTAGACACCCAAGTGTGGCTTTCCACACCCATACCCAACACACGACAAGTAGGAAAGGGACAGTGACCCTTCCTTCACAGGAAGGAAAAACAGAAGCCTTATCCAGAGACATCCCCTGATACAGTACAACCTCAGTTGCAGAATTTGTAGGGTGCATGGAGCCTGAGTGTGGCCCCTGCTGAAGAACTGTACATCTTGCCCACTTTCCAGACCCAGATCTTCACAAGCTATAAGCCTCCTGCCTGGGGCTCAATGCTTGACCTTGGGCCTACAACCCAAGTCACTGAGAGCCCTCCATAGACATAGTGGCAGCCAACAGAGTTTCAGGGGCAAATTTAGTCCCAAGAACTGCTATGCAGGCCTACTGTAACCAACTTGTTTGCCTAACCCAGAGTCTCACTGGATGCTTTGTTTCTGCTATAAACCTAGAAGCCAGGACATTTTCCTTGGGCTCAGTCCCTAGCTACCTAGCTCAAAGCACCAGAATGAGGTGGGCTAGGCAAGGGCAGAAACAGCAGCAGATAACCCTTCAGGGAGAAGTTCCACAGCCCGTTTCCCTGTCCACTGTGCACGGAACCTCACTGACTGCCTATGAGCCTCAGGAGGTTGGAGAGGTCCATGGGATACCACCATGAATAGCCCATTCATAGACAACCAGATGACCCCAAAGAGAGAAGGTACTGAGAAGGAAGGGGGCCTGTAGATAAACCTAAATTGTTTATGGCAACAGATGAGGCTAGATGTATGGAGCCAGCATCCTCAGGTATCACTGGCTACTCTCTGAGGTTCTTGGCTTAATCAGTTGCTAGGGTAACCTGAACATGAGCAGGGACATCTATAGGATCTAGAAGCCTGGAGTGTTCAGTACCACAAGGGAGTAGGAGTCACACCTGGGCTCCCTTGCTCAAGGCATCCTACATTGGGGGAAGGACAGGGGCCAAAGCATGACCACTTACAACTGCATACCTAGGTAACAGGCGGTACAGCCACCTTAAGTCCCAGATGGCACCTGGGGAGTGGCAGTCCTGGCAGGCACCACTCATACCCTTCTGGCCTGGTTGGGTAAAGAGGTCCAGGGGGTGCACCAGAAAGGAGTCTCCAGAGCTGACTGGCAAAGCCAACAGAGCAGAAACCAGATGGGCAGGCACAGAGTCCAGCATTCTTTCCTAGCAGTCTAAGCATCCACATCTGGACCAGATGCTTGGAAGAGCGACTGCTTTCTCAGGTTGAGCCGGGCACACTTAGGGCAAGTAGTTGAATTGTCATAGTAGCAATCCCTGGGGGCAGAAAGAAAGACATGTAAAATTCTACCACTGGACCCTTACAAGTTTACGAGGTGAGCTCCTACTGCCCCTGTACAAAGGGGTAAGGGGTTCAGGTGTTCACCACCATTGGTCAGAAGAGAGGGTGACATCCAAGCATGACAAGACCTGTGTGTCCAGTATACTGGTCTCTGCCAAAGGGTACTCATAGCACATTATCTGGACAATGCATTCCCTTAGCGTTCACATTCAGGCTCCAAGTTTCTTATATTACCACTGTCACCTATCATCACCAGAGTGGAGCCTTCAAGTATGGTTCCCAAACTGTGTGTCAAGGCATACCAGGGCTCAACATCATGTACATGGGGAGCTATAGGCTCATTTGAACATGTGGAGAGAATGTGGACAGAGTTCATGTTCAAATTCATCAATATTTGACATGTGTCCACCACTGAAACTACTAGCTCAAGAGAGTTCATGTTTCAGCAAGTTTTTACTACATCACTTTTTATGACAAGATTGGCAGTTGCTATGATAAACTGGCGCAGGGGCAAAAAAAAAAAACAAAAAACTGGACAGAAATAGGGATGGAAGGTTCTCATCCAACTCAGAGCACAGCAGATGCACAAAATCATAGTTAAGAAATTGTGCTTTGGATCACTTCTGTAATCCTAGTGGCACAGGAAGCTGAGATTTGAGGATCAAGGTTCAAAGCCAGCCCAGTCAGACAAATCCATGAGATTCGTATCTCCAGTTAACCAGAAAAAAACAGAACTGTTGCTATGGCTTAAGTGGTAAAACATCAGCCTTGAGCAAAAAGCTATGGGAGACCATGAGGGCCTGAGTACCAGTACAAAAAAAAAAAAAAGAAAGAAAAAAAAGAAATTGTGCTTATTGTAGAATGAAGTTTAACTGTTTTGCTTCTAACTTATATGTATTATTTTTTCAAACAGCCACTAAATATGCAGAATATAAATCCTCATGATATTGTTTAAACGTAAGTACTTAAATAAGCAAAAGAATCAGGTATTTCTTTTAGACTAGACACTGGAAAAGGTGCTGAAATATTAAGGATATCAGAAACTAGGATGTTTAGCAACCTCTGCCTTAGTGCAAGAAGAAGCAGTGCAGATGCTGCAAATCTAAAAGGCTTTGGGAAGTAATCCACAATGGTCTGGGTGGGGCTGGGAAGTTGCCTTGCACGGATGAGGCCCTGGGTTACATTCCTTAGCACCACAAAAGCAGAAAAAGCCGGAAGTGGCACTGTGGCTCAAGTGGTAGTGCGCTAGCCCTGAGCTGAAGATCTCAGGGAGAGCACCCAAGCCCAGAATTCAGGCCCCACGACCAACCAAAAAAAATTAAAATTAAAAAAATAGGGGCTGGGAAGGTAGCTCAGTCATAGAGTGATTGCTCTGCATGCATGAGGCCCTGGGTTACATTCCTCAGCACCACATAAGCAGAAAAAGCCAGAAGTAGCACTATGGCTCAAGTGGTAGAGCGCTAGCCTTGAGCTGAAGAGCTGAGGGATAGTGCCCAGGCCCAGAGTTCTCGCCCCACGACTGCCAAAAACAACAACAAAAACAACAACAACAGGGGCTGGGAAGGTGGCTCAGTGGTAGAGCACTTGCCTTGCATGCATAAGGCCCTGGGTTCGATTCCTCAGCACCACATAAGCAAAAATCATTCCTAATAGAATTTTTCCACATAGACATCAGTGCATAACTCTGTGGCTCAGGATCAGCAAAGGGCTCTGAAAACCAGGCAGCAAAGGTCCAAATGTCTGTCTCCCCCTCTTTCAGTGACACCAGAAACTGCTTCCTCAAGACCAGATACAGCTGAAACCAAGGAAAGGAAGCCACTCAGAGGGCAGGGCAGAGCCTCAACACCTCCTCTGAGGGAGGGGCCTGGGTCACACCCACCTGTGGAAGACCGAGGAGCAGTCCATGCACACAGATGTGTGGCTATCAAATGGGAACAGCACATCACCTTCTCTGCAGAGCTCACACACAAAGCCCTTCGCCTGACACCGCTGGTGGGGAGGGGAAAGAGTGTGGAGAGGTTAGAGGATATATGCAGGTAAGTGCCAGCCAGGACAGTGGGGCAAGCTGCTTCTCCTGCCCATCACAGCCCCCAAGACTAGGGGCCAGGAGAATGGCCTAGGATCTCCTATGGACTGGGGAGAGGCGGGGGAGGGAAGAGACCCACCTCACAGTCCAGCTTGATGTGCTTGGCAAAAAGTGTGTGGATCTCAGTAAGCGAACAACCAAGGCGGCCCATGTGCACATCCAAGAGGTCCTGGATTGAGTACATCTCATCGTTCTCCACAAAATGCTGCCGGTCCTGGAGCTGCCAAATCCCAGTAGCTGTAACCCCAAGCACAGGAAAAGAAACCCTCCCACAGCCCTCCCATGGCTGTTCACATTGTCCAGGCCATAACCCTTGGCCAGGTCCAGCAGCTACCATGGTGTGAACAGCCCCAGCCAGGGACAACTAGAAGCCTCCAGAGACAAAGACCCTGGGAGGGAGCCCTAAGAGCAGAATTAGAGAGCCTGGGGAAAACAAAGCAGGAAAATGGCGCCAGGGCCACGTTTCCTGAACTGTGTAACCCAGCTCCCCAAAACATACTCTTGTTACTCCTATAATCCTGTCTCAACCATCCTTGCTCCCCAATCACTAGGCCTTTCCCCTGCCTGCCACACCTCATCCCAGGCCTGGTCTCCCTGTTTAATACCTCCACAGTACTCCCTAGCCCCTCCCCAACTTTGTCCTGTCCATATTGCTTACCACCCTGACATACACTTCCAAACTGATGGAAACTCTACAAGGCAAGGATTCCTGCCTGTTTTCCTTATTGTTTCCCAGAATCTAGTCCAATGCCTGTGAATATTGAACACATAGGAAGTGATGCTGTGGATCAAGTGGTAGAGTGCTAGCCTTGAGCACACAGAGGCTCAGGGACAGTGCCCAGACCCTGAGTTCAAGCCCCAGGACTGGCCAAAAAAAAAAAAAAAAAACCCTATACATATTGCACACATAAATAATGAACACATTAAAACTTGTGTTCAACTGGCCTGCGGTAGACGTATACTTCCACCCACAATCACATAAAAGTTTCAGACAATGTTTCTTTATCTCAGTTCCCAACCTGAGATCATCAGAGAACAGTTTTGTGATTGGGGTACCTAATAGTTTATTACAGGCCTGATATTCCTGGGGCAGAGTTTGGAAGATTGCTAAAAGTACAATATATACTGCTACCAAGTTGTCTGGGAAGTCCTGGACTAAGGGGTACTATCACTGCTGGGCTGCTCCCCCCAGCAGTCTGACCTGCAGCAGCAGACGTGCCTCCATGGCCTCCTTGCAAGTGATGAAGTACGGCTTCATGAGCAGGATGTCCTGGCGCAACTTCTGTGGATAAGGGCAACAGGCAGGCTCAGCCAGATCAGAGGGCTGCACCTCAGCCATCTCTTCCATGTCCTAGCTGTACAGGGAATCCTCAGCTTACTCTTTTTTTTTTTTTGGTCCGGTCGTAGGGCTTGAACTCTGGGCCTGGGCGCTGTCCCCCGGCTCTTCAGCTCAAGGCTAGCGCTCTACCACTTGAGCCACAGCACCACTTCTGGCTTTTTTCTTTTTGCTTATGTGGTGCTGAGGAATCGAACCCAGGGCCTCGAGCATGCAAGGCAAGCACTCTACTACTGAGCCACCTTCCCAGCCCCCTCAGCTTACTCTCTTGGTGTCAGCAAAATCAATAGGGGCTGGGGAAGGTGTTGTTGAACTCCCCAGGATGTTCTTAGATCTGAGTGCTACAAAGAAACTCAAGTGCAAATCTCAGCTTCTAAGCTACACAGGACCTTGAGGTTCATTTACCATCACCATCCACTCTACTCACCTACTCCCACAAGCATACAAAATGGCTTTTCCGAGAGCAGTAATGTGTAAAACACTAGGACACACTTGACACACTAGGCCTAACACCCACATTCCTCATCAGCCTCTGTGATCTGGGCAACTCACTCTGCTCTGCCTGCTCTTCCCCAGTAACAGGGAATTGGACCTCATTCTACTGCCTGCCCCACAACACCACCAGCTCCTGTCTTCTAGAACATCTGGATCTCCATTCTAGATAAAACTGGCCACCACAGCCAGGTGCCAGTGGCTCACACCTGTAATCCTAGCTACTCAGGAGGCTGAGAGCTGAGGATTAGGGTTCAAAGCTAGCCTTGGGCAGGAAAGTCTGGGAGACTCTTATCTCCAATTAGCCATCAGAAAACCGGAAGTGATGCCCAAGTGGTAGAGTAGTCGCCTTGAGCTAAAGAGCCTGGGGACAGTGCCCAGGCCCAGAGTTCAAGCCCCACGACAAATAAATAAATAAATAGTTCAAGGCCAAGGCACAACATTTCACAAAAAAAGAAATGTACTCATTACCTGACTTATGAAATGGTAGCCCACTGTCCAACATCTTAATAATAAAAAACATTTTTTTTTTTTGGTTGGTTGCAGGGATTGAACTCTGAGCCTGGGCGCTGCCACTCAGCTCTTCAGATCAAGGCTAGCACCCTACCATTTGAGCTACAGCGCCACTTCCAGTTTTCTGGTGGTTTATTGGAGATAAGAGTGTCACGGACTTTCCTGCTGAGGCTGGCTTTGAACCGCAATCCTCAGATCTCAGTCTCCTAAGTAACTAGGATTAGAGGCATGAGCCACCAGCGCCCGGCAAATTTATTTTTTTTTAAAGTTCAAAGCCAGCCAGGCACCAGTGGCTCACACTTGAGTAACTAGTTACTCAAGAGGCTGAGATCTGAAGATCATGGTTCAAAACCAGCCTACACAAGAAAGTTCATGAGACTCTTATCTCCAATTAACTACCAGAAAACCGGAAGTGGTACTTTGGCTCAAGTGGTAGAGAGGTAGCCTTGAGCAAAAAATCCCAGGGACAACATCCAGGCCCCAAGTTCAAACCCCAAGAAGAGCACTAAAATAAAGTGAAAAAAAAAAGGCTACTAGAATAAAATTTTAATCGCCTCCATGGCTGAAATCAAAATTGCTATTGAACGTGGTTCTATTGCCTTTAATCCAGAGGGCCATCAAAGGGCCCTGCTGAGATGGCATGCCTCCTTTACTCAGCACCTCCCACAGACCAGAAAAGGGGTCTATCTGATGCAGTACTGCCTCATCCCTCACCTTAGGTCCCAACCTTACCCGGATCTCCACCAGTTCCTCCACGTAGTTGAATAGCAGGGGGTTGATCTCCCGGAGCCGGAGCACTGGGCGAGATACCATCAGTGCCAGGTAGCGCATGCTACAACGAGAAACCTGCAGGGTGCAGCACAAGAAACCTGCCCACAGGCTCTCCTTTCCCATGGCTACCCCTACCCGCCCCCACACCCCTCTACCTTGCGGGGCTCAAAATCCCAGTTGTGCACAACACGTGCAGGGATGACAGCCAGGTCGTTCCAGTGGCAGTGACTGCAGTAGTACTGGCCGGTGTAATCACACTGCCGTGCCTCGCCAGGCACACCCCCTGTGTGGGGTTGGTACAAGTCAGGCTCACAGGCCTCAAGTCTCCTCCCTGACCAACAGACGCCTCCTCTCCCGGTCAAAAGCACAAGAAAGAGCAAGATGGGCCAGGGGTCCCACCCCACTGACCTGACCCACCCCTTCTTAGCCACAGCGCCTCTGTAGATACCAATGTGCTCACAAGTAAAACAGAGCAACAGGACCATGCTATGGGACTGCTGGAGGGAGCCCATGAGTTCACATTTGTTAACATTTCCATGACTACTATGATCTCTCTCCCTTGTCCTGTCTGTTAGGCACTCTGTGACAAAGGGGCCCACAGAGGCTGAGCTCAGGCTCCAGCCCTACAGTGATCTGGGCAAGTCATAGAACAACTGAAACCTCATTTTGCTCCAGTGGGAAATAAAGACATGCCAGTATTGACCCTTGCCACCTAAAGCCCTCAGCTGTCAGACAGCTTCCAGTCTGCTCTTGCTCTGCTTAAGAGAGGACCCTCTTTATCACTCACGAAGAGAGATGGGAGCCCGGCACTCTGCACAGCGGTAATCCTGGCTGTCCAGCCCTGTCTCAGGACAGATGTTCAGCTCATACTCGGCCTGATGGCTGACTTTGGAGCTCACACAAGGCTTGGAGACGAGGTTCAGGCACTTGCTGTGACAGCGGTAATAACACCCTGTGATGGAGAGCAACCATGCCTCTTAGAAGTCAGAGAGAGGCGTCCACAGTGACCTTCATGAGATGCACTCCAGTGTCAAGATAAACCAGGCAATTCTTCACATCTTGGCTCCTCAAAGATCCTTGTGACCCTGCTCAACATTTGCCTTGCCTATCAATTCTAGACACACACATCCAGAGTCAACCTGCTATTCCCACCCTCAAACTCAAACTGCCCAAAGAGTTTATTCTCTTCCATCTCAACTCTCTTCCCTCATTTCTCATCTCAGACTTCAGTGACTCCAACCGACTGCTAAGACTAAACATCATGAATCACTTTGCCTCTTCTCTTATCTCCTAACTGCACTTAGAACTTCCAGCTAGCACTGACCTCAGCCACCTGTCACCAAGGTCATGATGATCCCAGAATAGGTTGTTGTTGTTCTTCTTCTTTTCTTCTCCCTCCTCATCTTCCTTCTTTTTCCTCTTCTTCTTCCAACTTCGCTCTCCCTTCCAGTATATGTGTATATCAGCAGTGGAAGTCTGAGCATCTAACCATGGTCCCTACTGCACTTACAGAAAAACCCTCAGCTCACTTCTACAATACTCTCTTTCAGGTACACTGCTTTAGCTACTATGACGACTGGACACCTTTGTTGGGTATCAGTGACTCACATCTGTAAAATTAGCTACTCAGGAGGAGTCTGGGACTTGGAGGATTGAGGTTTGAAGCCCGCCCAGGCAGAGGAGTCTGATGAGACTCTGTCCAATTAGCCAGAAAAATGCTGGACTGGAGGTTCAAGGAGTAGAGTGAAAGCTGTGAGCAAGAAAGTCGAGTGATAGAACAAAGCCCCAAGTTCAAGCCCAGTATAGACAGATAAATACACTTACACTCATGTGCACATGCATGCACATTTTAAAGCCCACTTTTCTTCAAGACTGGGCATAGATCAGTCACAGAGCCTTTGCAGGCAGGCCTGCCCCGAGCTCTACCCTGACTGGCCTCTTGACCCTCAAGCATTTGCTTAAAGATCAAATAAGGCTTTTTCAGCAGTGCCAACTCAAACGCCAAATAAATATTATTCTTTCTCTTTAACTTAGTATGACTGTAATATCATGTCATTTTTTAACAAGTTTCTCATTCAGAACAGCACCATCAAAGGAAAATTTCTACCATGTTCCCTTCACTATCCATTGAGACAACCACCAGACTCATGCAGCCATTGAGTACTTGCAATGTACACAGGACAGCTAAGGAACTCCTTCTTTCATATATTTAAACTGAAACTTCTACATGGCTCATGGCCAACATAATGGAGAGCTTAGTAAAGGCCAGTGAAGGCAGGCATGTTAGTTTTTCCATTCTTAACATTCCCAGCATACAGAAAGCTTGGCCAAATGAGTGTACTACCAAAAATTTACCTGAAAATAACCCACATCTGCAATCAGAGCTTTGGCTCCTGTACCTTACTTGAGGGACTTGGACAGGAAGAGTGTGCTCCCATGTCAGCCCACCTGAGCATGTGCCCCGGGTCTCAGCTTCCATCTCAGCCCACCTGTACACGTGTACCAGGTCTGGATGAGGCCCCAGATGATGGTGCTACACTTGTCACAGGTTTGCTTGACACTCTTGCTCTTCTCCTTGTAGAAGCGGTGCTCAAGGAGGACTCGGATATTAGGCTCATCCTCATTGGGATCCTATAGGGGAAGGGAAAAGGAAGAGTCACAGGTGAACTGGGCTACAGCTTGCTCCTTTTTGTCAAGTTTAATTCATGCTTTCCAGCTACCACTAGCAGAGATTGTGCATTTCAGCCTAATGCATGTTCCTCTCCTTCCTCCTATAGCATGAGGAGGACAGTCAGACAGGTGCAGACAAGATCACACCACTTTTCTAGCAATCCTGGCAGCCTTGTGCTGCCTAGGTCCAAGGGCCTATGAATAAGAATCAATCCGCCCTTCTTTCCTTTTACTGGTTAGGTGCAGAACAAGGTGTTGGAGTGGGGCTAGCTTAGACTCTTCCTTTCAGTGACTGGAAGAAAAACAAAATAGGATAACCCAGTATCTCCAATACCACTAGCTGTCACAGGCATGAAGAAAATCGGTTCTAAATTCGGTTCTAAATTCCAAGGAATTAATGAGACAGTATATGGGACTCAGTGGTAGCCAACTCAGAGACTCAGACCCAACTCAACATGATGGCTCTTGTGGGATTTAGACTATGGAATCCATTTCCTGCCTGGACTGGCTTCAAATCTTGATCCTCAGGCAGCTGGGATTATAGGTGTGAGCCACTCACTGGCACCAGCCCACTCTATCTTTTGAGGTACCGTTCTACCTCAGCCTCTCAGAGTTCAGTGGGAGGAAGGCAGGGGCCGCCTAGTCCTTCTGCTGCCTACAATCTCAACCATGGCTCCTGGAACCTTCATGGGGATAGGCCAGCACGCACCTTTAGCTCCTGGAGCTTTAGCCGCAGATGGATGAGCCTCACCACGGCATCTTTCTGCTTCTCAGACTGCTCCGGCAGCTCCAGAATCACCTGCTTGCATTCTTCAATTGCCTGTTGCAGCTGCTGAACATCAGAGGCCAGGAAAAGACCCTGCCCAGGTGGGAGGGCTGTGGTCAGATGATCACCTAACAGATTCTCTGTGAAGGCTAGGGTTGTATTCAAGGGTAGGGAGGCTCAGGGCAGGTCTCAACCTCTTCACCAAATGAAGACTCACTACACATAACAAAAGTCCCACGTCCTCAGGTGAGGAGAGGTTGCTGATCACTGTCTTCTCCCTGACTGGACTGATGGACCCATAGGCCTCTGAAGATGCAACTCAGGGTATTTTCCAAAAGAGGAATTCTGGGCTGGGTATGATGATACACACTTATAATCCCAGTACTTGGGAAATAAAAGCAGGAAGATCTCTAGTTCAATGCCAGCCTGGTATACACAGTGCTACCCTGTCTCCAAAACAAAATAAATTCAAACAAAAAAGACAACTTTCAAGGGGTGGAAGGGTATCTCAGTAATAAAGCACTTGCCTAACATGCTACAGGGTCTGAGTTTGATAGCCAGAATCCTGCGCCCCTCCTGCCCCACACCCCACCAGCTCTCACACGCATACACACACACACCACCACATACACACTTCCTTCTTGTACAAATCCAAATGATTTGGGGTGGGGGGGCTACATGGATTCACTTCTACAGAGCTTTTCCTTGGAGGGGAGCTAAGGAAATTATAATTAGTATGAAAAAAAGGACACAGCCTCTGGTTGAATTGTAAGGCCCAAGCAGATGCCAGCAACATTGTGTAGGTGTGCCCAGCCACCCCAAAACTTGGTACTTTTTTTTCGTTTGTGCCTTGAAGCTTGTTTTAGAGCCTAGGCACTGTCCCTGAGCTTTTGTGCTCAAGGCTAGCACTCTACCACTGAAGCCATAACCACTACTTCCAGCTTTTTGTAATTGCAAGTAAGTCTCTCAGAAGGAGAAGAAACATCTCAGATTATCTACCTAGGTCTAAGCTTATTCAACTTTCCCTGTGAGAATAGGGCCAGGGCTACATAGGTCTCAGAATTGAGGACTCAGTGATTGCCTGAGGTGGGGCAGCTGTGGTTGATGGTGGAACTTCGCAGAGATGGGAAACTGCACCTCTAGCTCTTGAGAGTGCTATGAACCAACATCCCTGCTACCAGGACTGTGGTAATCAGGAAGCTGTTGACTCAATATCTCAGGGCCCCATCCCCTCTCCTCCCAGACCCCAAAACATTTACCACAGGGCGAGAGAAGTGGTCCTCAGACAGGCCAAGATCCATCATGCGCTCAGAGCAGTGGAACTCAGGCTCCCCAGGGGACAACTCAGGCAGGATCTCTGGAGAACAGGGAA